TTAAAAGCTCTGAAAGTGATGTTCCTCATAGACGAATTATCCGCGACTGACGTACGCCAGCTGTTGAACCTCATCCTACGATCTGTACCGTGAAGATGTGATTAGAAGCCACGTCCACCCTAACTTCATACAGACTGTACACCCTGTCGCTTGTCATATCAGGCGGGCGTTCTGTGGACGGTTGCGCTTATTTGCCAACGGCGCAATTGAGCAATGCCCTCCACGGCTTTTTAACATTTGGCTTAGGACAGACTCTTGTGACCTCTCACCAGTGCTTGTGCTTTCCGTTTCCTACTTGTTGACCCCTATGATGTCCACTGCCTCCCAACAGCCCTCCCACAACCTGGGCCACAACACCCAGGTGGCATATGTGAATGTCCTGTGCATGACCTTGTGCCGCCTGGAAGCGGGGTGCCCCTTGGCTTATACGAAGGTCGCCATTGTCCCCTTTTAATGTCTTCGATTGTTCACCTTTAAAGTGCAGAAAACCACATGCCTAATCTGCGTTAACGCGAACCCTGGCTACCGGGACGGTGATTGTCCTGGTTAATCAAGGCTGTAGACAACAGGCTTGAGGTCTGTAAATGACCACTTTGAACTTCAGGAAAGAGGCAGGAAAGTCGGCCCGACTCTGTGCGCAAATTCCTCTCCCCTAGGAAGGGAGTTGGGGCCTATTTCTATTTTTCCCCGCAAACAGAGAACGAAATACAGTAGTAGCTGTGGCGCCAAACAAGGTAGTTTGCATTTTTTCCATATTTGTTAGGTGCCAACAACGCTAGCCTGTCCGATTTCTCGAAGTCACATTCTATAAAAGAGGATAGAGATTACAGTTGAACACTTCTGGTCTTTTCAGATGGAAGTGGTTGTGGTCTCCCGGCGTAGCGCCAAAAGGCTTATGACCTGGTGATAAAGATTGTGCATTGTTATCTGCGTCTAGGTCGCCCTCTTTCCTAGGCCTTATTGAAGACCAACACTAGGGACATCCTTTTAAAACTGCTCTAAGGTTTAGTTTCATTGAAAAACTACCGACCGCCCGGCAGACTTGCAATTTGTTCGAGTCGTTGGCACAATTATTTTTAACTAGTAGTGAAAAATGTACAAGTAGCTTGCCCAGGCTTTTCAACCGACTTGTGATGCGAGTGGAGTATAAAGTCTCCGACTATCAAGTTCCACGCGCGTATACGTACGCAGGTCTTTGGCCATTGGTGACGTTGGCAAAAAGTGGATGCAGGGTTGATGTGTGATGGATGGCTTTAATGTGTACATATGGCCGAAAGAGGTCTGTGCGGTGGCCCAATGTTTGGGAACTCTGTGAGCTAAGACTATGGGTGATACTTTAGTGGTCGTTGTGGTGTATGCGCATAAGACGAAATAGGCGAATGTAGCGGCCGTACATGTGGGTGCAGTGTTGGCAAGGAAAGCTTTTTTAATGAATATTTTCCGAGTTTCCTGGCGTTGGTTCCCCAGTCACTTTGCGATGGGTTCTCAGGTGTCTGACCAGGCCGATGAGTGATTAAATTGCGCGGTCACGATGTGGACGGGTTGCCATTGAGTTTTTGACGATAGCGATTGGGCGGAAGTAGTGTAATGTGTACGTGTTTGCTCACGACGAAACTTGGGTTAGATTTTTAATTATCTAATACCATTCCCCCGGGGTTAGTTGGCTTACAGGAAACTGCAAAGCCTCATTATCCGCCTGGCCTGACGGCCTAAACTGAATTTTGGTTAGGCGATGTGTTTAGTATGCCTCTATAAGTATGAATGAACCAACCGGTTTGCGGCATGCATAGACTGAGATTATTTCCAGAGCAGCCACAGACCGAAGGCCATCTCCTGTTGTTTTAACCTTGTTTTTCTACTGCGATGTGGTGTCAATGCTGTAGGCGTCCCCATCCTTGTATTTGAATCCACACACAAGTACACTTCGTCAGCCAACGGCGAAGGTAACAATCGTCATTTTCGATAAACGAACTACTGGGTCGAAATTCCATCTACTCGGGTCGGATTATGCTTGGAGGCTGTGGATACCAAAAGTGTTACTTTCTTCTCGTCCAATTTCCTATATGGCACTTGATTCAGATTGTCATTTACCATACTGTGGCAACTGGATTCACCACTCTTTTGAAGTCCCGTCCTCGCATCGATACCCAGAAGGTTTGCGTTCATACCGACACTGAGTAAAGCTGGTAGTTGACCTTGCAAAAGGACTCTAAGATTTGTACAGTCTTGTTTGCCGTCAGCTCAATGCTTGGTAGTGCTATGTCTTTCATTTGCATATACTGCTGCGCTTCTTTGGGATGTTTTCCGTGGACTAACCCGTGTTCCATATCCATGCTCTTTCAGCAGGGTAACACACAAATAATGAGTCCACCCGGCATCCCCTCGGATTTGACGCATCAGCCACCCGCGGGTAGTGCTAGTCCTGGGGCACCAGGAACGCCAAACCCTGCGTCACAATCAGCAGCTGTGAGCGTTGGGGTCCCAACTGCCCAAACTATGTGGTACTACTTGGACTCCGAAGGTCAACCCCAAGGCCCATTTGACGATGCTACTATGACGAATTGGTTTATAGCTGGCCACCTTCCGATTACTCTCAAAGTGCGTCGTCAGTGCGACGGAGTCTTTTCTCCTCTGTGTAAGTGTTTTAGACTTTTTTTGCGAATGCGAGTTTACCATCACCATAATCATAGCAGCATCAGCAGGTACCAATGCTACTGTCCAGCTGCATTAGATGAAGCTGGGTTAGTCTGGAGCTTAAAATCGGTGTCTAAAGTTCCGACTGCTCGACCGTCCCTATTAACGATGTCCATCGTGCGCTCCACAACGGGGTGAGAGCAAGGACGGTGACTTGCGCGTGGTCTCTTTTGTTGTGATAGTAGACTTGCAAAGCACCTGCCGCACTCTCCTCCCCCTTCATGGGCCCGCTGCCAAGAAAGATTAAAGAAAACCGGAGACGGGAAAGGGCGCAGGTGGCTGGCACAGTGAAAACCCGCATCTAGGCGTACAACCACACCCTCTGGTCCACAATATACACTGACGATTTTATTCAAAATGAAAATGGGGCGGGTCATGGTCTTGTTCCATCAAAGCCGAGGAGCGGCGCGTTCCTCTTCTTTATGGGACCATAGACCGCCTTGAGTGATTCGAAGAAGTTCTTTGTACCACTGCCTCAACACTTCCCTCTGCCTTTCAAGTCATCCAGGTGTCTTGTATCCCCCGCAGTCGTTTCTGCGCGAGGCGACGATAGCGGAAGAAGGCCGCGTTGCTTTCGTCGGTCTGATGATCGTTGTGGGCCATGTGCAGCCTGTGCCTTTCGACGGGCAGGTTGCTGATGCCTGCGTTGTTGTCGAACCAGTCATAGTTTCGGCGATGTTCGCGTCCGAGGACGTCCAAGGCAGTGGATTGGATGACGTTCAGCAGTTGGCACCACCGAGTCTCTACGGTGGTGCTGTCGTCCGGCGCCGTCGGTTCTTTCAGATGCTGGGCTATTTGATTGCAGAAATGTAAGTGGTGGGCAGACAAAGTCGGCAAAACAGTATTTAACTTACCTGATGGTCGCTTACTTTGGGGTCTCCTGCGAGGTTGCAGATGGAGCCACATCTTGGAGATGAGGCAATGATCCGTCCATTTATCGGCGTCGCAAATAGCCTTGATCACGAGCATGTTCCGTCGATCTTGCCCCCGGACGAGAACGTACTTCAGCAGCTGCCATCGTCGCGACCGGGGATGCATCCTGGTGGCCTTCTTCCGCATTGGAAGGCGGAATGTGTTGGTCAGGAGGAGGCGGTGTTCTGCGCTGATTCGCAGGAGAGGGAGGCCGTTTTCGTTACGGCTGCGAAATCCATGGGTACTCGTCCCTCCCTCAAAACGGCGTAGTCTGCCCCGACTCCGACATTGAAGTCACCAAGGACAATCAGCTTGTTCGCCCTCGGCACAGTCGTCAGGATGCCGTGAGAGTCCTCATGAACTTGGTCCTCGCCTCGTCGGACCTGGTCGTTGGGGGGAGGGGGGAGGCGTAGACGCCGACGATGGTGGCAAGTTAGGCTCCCCGAAGAGGCAGGCACAGGTTCCTGAGGCGATAGTTAATGCCCTGTGGTTGGCAGATCAATCGTCCCGCGATGTCGTTCCTGGTGGCGCGCCAGTTCTCGATCGAATAACGTCCTCCATTTCGGCTGGTTGCTCCCCGGATTTTCTAAAAGGGAACGAAACTTTCAGGCTGCCAGAGTGAGGAGACTTACCCCAGCGGCCTGTGGGATGGGTCAGAGGGCAGGGGGACGAGGATGGTTGTTGTTGGGCCGCAGGTTTTGCATCTACGAGCCACGGTGTACTAGCAGATGGCTTGATTCCCCAGCATTTGTTTAAGGAATCTTTCTTAGCTCCTTCCCCACGAGCGGGTAAACAGTCCTATCCTTAAATAGGGCTACTTGGACATACCAGACGGTCGCCGAACTCTGCTATGGGTCACGGTATTGTTTAGTGGGAGAGCGACCTGAGTTAGCCTGGGCGACCTACGGGATTGCATATCGCCCTCTCCATAGGACCTTTGATGTGGAAGGTGGGAGGGAAGAGAAGATTTGGATGGGGACAGAATTACCGGGTCTGGGGATATACCCAGCATCGGATACTCTCATCTGATTTAGTCCGCCTGCCGAGGGGGTTATCGCAGTGTGAACATTATGCAGAGCCTAGCTACGGAGAACCAGAGATGAAAGCTGGGTGCCAGTTAAGGACCGTGAGGAGCAGTCACCATTTTCATGGTGCGACGTACCACTCATTCACTGCTGACCCCCATTGTTTACACAATAAACAGTTAATAACGGGCATGCTAACTTACGACTGACAGGCCACCTTAAGAATGTCTCTGTCTACTCACCAACATCAATTACTGACCGGCGCGTTATGAAAACCTACTAAAACTGCTGGCACTGGTTAAAAGACTCACTCACAGTCATCCGCCGATTGCTGATACGACCTGGAGTGTCCAGACTAGGACCGCTAACTCTTTAGACAATGTCCTTTTTAACCGCCTTGAGTTTGATTCTCAGTGGTAAAAGAACGCGCAGCCTTGTCCGTGTCCTCATTAGCACATACTTGAAAATTTGCCTGTCGCTTGCGCCCAAAATCTCTCCTGTAAGGTGTTTAAATGTCATGAAGCTATGCCAATCCAGCGCAGTGGAAGCTCAAACGCAGAAATCTGGCATTGCTTTACAGTTCAAACTAAAGGAGACAGTGGTAACTGATCACCATTGAAGTTTTCTGTCCGTTGTCTCGCAGAGAGAACTTTCGGATTTACCTACAACTGTTAGGTCAGGCAACTCAGGCCAAGCCCTAAACATAGTCTTCTGTCGCCACCTCCAGAAAAAGAGAAATTTCGTCTAGAAATAAGTGTATCCTTTCACCGGTCTATGCAGTGTCGTGTGATCACATTCACACGAAGAAGCCAATAAAATACTGAGGCAGTGTAACAAAAAGAAACCCAGAAAGGGTGATAAAAACGCAAAAGTCCACAGGTCTTACGTCGACACTCTGACGCCCCGACCGCATGTGTTGATCGAGCAAGCGTGAGGAAATAGGCCTGTTCCTGATGACTGCGGATCGGCCACCCTTCTGCCTGTCTGCAAGAAGGGAAATAAGATGCTCGTCTCATTACCACTTGCTACGGCGGTTTCGGAGCGTGCGGAACTCTGGGAAGGGACCCAACCGGGCCGGGTTTCGAGTCGCAAGTGGGTTTATCGACCAAATGCTCAGTGACGCGCATTCTTTAATTCTGTCATGGACACGAACATCCGACGGCCGTCTACCGGCCTGACTTTACTGCGGCTTTCGATTCTCTTCATCGTGAGTCTCTGTGCCAGAGAATTGAGCTAGACGGTATGCTGACAAAGCTCATCGATATGACCGAGGCCTGCTATTGCTGCACCACTAACGGTCTCTCCCAACCGTTGAATATTTTGTCTGGCCTTCAGCATGTATTCTATTGCTCATTCCATTTAACTACGCCATTGGCTGGATTTTCGGAAGGGACCTAGGCGGTCATGCTGGTATTGAATTTGCACCGGGGGCCAGCTAACTGACCTGATGTGCACCAGCTGTATCGCCATGTAAACGTCGAACTTTGATGACTTATTGATCATGATGTCCGGATGAATGAACTCGCTAAATCGGTAGGTTTGTCCATAAACGCTGGGAAGACCAATGTTCTCCGATCTGAAGGCGCGCGCTCCCATGGGATTAATGACCTGTCAGCTCGCGGAAGTTTAGTTTCAAATACCTCAGTGTGGGTGCTGTCAAGTGAACAGCGTAAGGACGACATTGCTTCTCAGATCAATGCTGCTCTAGGAACTTTCGCAGTCCTTAGAAAGTGTACACGCACCCAGCGCCATATTTGTACCATCGCAAGGGTTCGCGTGTACCGGTGATCTATACCGTCAGTCCTACAGTGCACTTGTGAATGCTGGACTGTGCGCTTGGAAGACGAGCGAAAACTGTAGAGATTTGATAAGCGTTGTCTAAGAATCATCCTTCGTATGAAGTACGCCGAAATCGCTTATAGAGGGGCCATTCGCACTCGATGCGACAACACCGCAAGCATACCTCCTGTTATCCAGAAAAAAATGAATGAGGTGGTTTGGGTCATGTTCTTAGTCGTGTACGCATTGAGTTTGACGCTGATAGCCACCCGGAAGGCGACCAGGAGGAGACAAGCTCCAAACCTTACATAACGCAGTCCGTCAAGGCATGGAAATGGTCCATGTACCTTTGGTATTTAGTCTACATCGCTGAATGAGAGGAGGTTGAGTTCTCGAAATTCGCTGCCGCAGATCGCTACTTGTGGAGGAGTACAATTCGCGGCATTGGGTCGACAAGATCACGCACTACCTCTACCGTACTTATTACCAATAGTACGAAATGAGTACAAGTTATAATAATTATTCATATATTTGGGTATCACGTCCACTATTGTTCTGAGGCTAGTACTTGGCGCAAAATCACGCGATTGGTGGTTCAGCCTCGTCTGAAAGCACATGTTTCCTTACTATGTGAGTTTTAACACCTCTAAATCGTCTGTAGCTAGAGGTCTGACGCTATTTCTCGTTTGAAAACCAACGTCCGGGTATTGCCATTTTTCGGGCTAACATGCCTGCGCCGTAAGCATTTCCCGGTTCTCTTTGAGACATAGTATTTTGTCAGCAACCCATGTGAACTCTAATTCCATTCTGTGAATTTCGCCTCTGTCGTAGCCTCATTTCACATAAAAAGTTCCGAACACCTCATTTTGTAGCGGAGTTTCTCGCTCGGCTCGGTCGATTCCCCTTCGTGGATTCTCACAAGCTTCCACCCATTCTCGAGCCAAACGCTCCCCTTCCTCAGTTCCCGCCGGCCATGGTTAGCCTGCACTCGCCACCACCACCACCACTACCACCACAGCAACAACCCTTATCACCACCCCCGCCGCTGCCCGCTGTTACCCCTGACGCGCCCGCTCTCTGTCCGGAACCCCAGCCTGCTATTCCCGCCTCCTTCCAAGAAGTGCCACCGGAGTTGCAGCCTAAGGTGCGTATTCCTCACTGACATTCAACTGCCGTCAATTTTACGCCACATTGAACGTCATTCTATCCGTGCGTTTTGTGTTCCGGCTTGTCGGGCCAAATGCTGGCATTGGCGCCCACTGTCCCCCAGGACTTTTAAATTAAATTTGCCCTTTTTATTATATTTCTATCTGAGCACATTTAATATTCTCCGGGGTCTGCGGATTTCCTTTATAACATTTTTCGATTCCACATCCAGCCCTCATTTTTCCCCATGCAGCGCCATACTGCTCTCACTTGAGCTTTCTATTGGAGTTTCGGTCAACAATTTAGGTGCAGCTGTTTCACTTAAGAGTACACCAGCTTTTTTAGAGGTCAAAGGACCTCGGAAGTTTTCCACCAGCCTTTTACGTGTGTGATTGACTTTATCTACAGAAGAGTGATGGCCTGCTTGTGGTCTTCCTCCTGTGCGGTACGTTGCACTCCTTAGCTCATTTACTCTATCTCATGCAGGGATCCACGAGCGCAAGACACTGTTTGTTAAAGTTTGTAGCGTTTAGTGCACAAAATATGATGGCTTGCGCCGCAACTTTCCCGGGTGGACCGGAGATTTTCGCGCGTGTTTGCGAACTGTACGTAAGATGCATTTTGATGTCATGTGCCATCTTTGGGCAAATGTTAGCAGCCCAACAAAAGCAATCGCCTAGGAATCTAAGACCTGGCACCTCCGATAGTAAACTTGATTCCTATTTTAACCATATTGGTTTGTCAATTTTTTTCACGGTTTTTCACGGTAGTGCATCAGAAAACCGTGTTGTCATGTTCCTTAAGGCTCAGCTTAAAGTCATACTCCGGTCTAATATGTAAAAAAGTCAAGATGGTCTTATTCTTGTGGTCTTTTCCCGTGCATTAAAAGGTCGATTAGGGAACTTTCCGTATATGCGGTAAACCCTCGTAGGTCTGTGGGGTGTGTACGCAAGGAGGTTTTCTTGTGGTTTGGTCATCAATGTCGAAAATAAACTTATTTCTTGAGAAGTGAACAATCTGTGCTTAAGATTGGACGCTCCATATGACGAATTTTTTTGCCCGCATTGCAGCCCAGATGTTTTTTTGAAGAATTACTTCCTCCGAAGTTGTCACCGGTACTCATTTAACCGGAATCTACCATCGCACGCATCGTACATGAGGGTTTCTCAATTTTCTGTCTGATGCTAGGATTTATTCAGTCATCGTCGGGCCGTATTTCCATCCTCGATCCTCGGACACCATTAGGCACATTATCCTTTCCAAGTCACTTGTGAACGCATTCACCACTCTTGTTCTCGTCTCCGTAGCTAAGGTGGCCTTGGTACTCTTCACGAGATTCGAGCCAACGACGTCTCTGGTGATTTCGCGTTGTTGTCGGGGTTGCTGCCTTTGTTTGTCTTTTCGCTCAAATATGCTCCCGACCCTCGATGGGGTTCCACATTCGATGAAGTCAGCACTGATTTACTGTCCGGCTTTCTGGACAGTTTTTCATGCCTTCGCGCCCAACCCCCACTAATTAATGCGTAATCTTTACCGTTAGAAGTTTTACCCCTTCTTAGATTGTTGGGCATACTCTACGCTTTTGTAACAGACGCTATCGAATGTAGCTGGTTTTGGAAGTTTAAATTGTGCTCTCTTGTGTATTGCCGTCATTTAGAATCACAGACTACATCCAAAGCACTTAAGTGTACTATGGATTCAGATTCACAGTCCTGCGCATCATAATCTTTCGGAGTTCTCTTGTTATCTTAAATATCGTTTCTGCTCAAACATTGAATGGTCATTTAATTTGAATCCGGTTTCTCTTTTGACCCATTTATATCACAGAGTCCAGAGGCTTTCGACCGCCCAGTCTTAACTTTTGGAGACTTGAGTTTTATGACCGAGGCAACGTTGAGTGAGGTGAAACGCCTTCAGGAAAACGCCAAGATCTTGACTGATCGGACCTCAGCATTGGGTTCCGATAACTCAAATCTCGCGAAGCACTTGGAATCCTTGACCTTGAACGCATCAGAAGTTGTTCCCGAATCGCCCATTGTCATGAAGAGTACGGAGGAATCGCCTCTTTCAGTGGAGCCATCTTCGGAGCTTGATCAGGGAATGAAAATGGTAAGCGAAAAAGGTTCATCTTTCTCATACCAAGACGTGTTCTAGACAAAGGAACCCTGTCAGTCGATCATGGAGGCTGATCCACATGCCAAACAACAAGTGCACTTAACGGTTTCCAGTGAGGTTCTACTGGCCGAAAATGCGGCCCCGATCTCGGAGGCTCCTAACCAGCCCCTTGACAGCAGTGCAGATCCGGTCGTCGTAAAGAAGAGCAAGAAAAGTCGAAAGAAAACCAAACAAAGCGATATCTCCTCAGAACAGACAACGGATGTCTTACTAGCGGAGCTTAGTAAAACGAATACATCACCTGAACCCCCTCCGTTCGTCCCTACAGCAGACGAAATCCCCCCTGAAGCTGACTGGGATACGAACAGCGATGCTGTAGACACATCAACGCGACCTACAGCCGTCGAGCAGGAGTCTAGTTCGACCAAAAAGCCGAAGAAAAAGAGGAAGTCCAGGTAAGACTGCTCTTTTTCGATCCAGGGATCTTTGCACGCACTATCTGGAGGCTCTGTATCGTGTCAACCATTGCGCCTGATCTCACCCTGGCCATTCTAACTCGATTTCACCACCAGGTCACACTTTCAGCAGACCTCTCCTTACTATGACAAATCTGACATGACTTTAAACCGTCATGACGCGTTAAAAGCCATGACTTGGGAGACCACCAACCGACAAAGTGAACTTGTCCTCATCCGGATTGAGGGTCACCCTGCACTGGTTCTTATATAACCCTTTTGCCAACCCCCACAGGTACGAAATCCGGATTCAGGCAGTCAATTTCATGTAGGTTAAGGGACCAGCACCTGTGTGGCATGCGACAGTTCGACCGTCGTTGCCGCTGATGTCAACCGCGTGCTCCACATCAGGTGGGAGCAGCGACGGTGACTTGTACGTAAACTAGTTTATAGTGATTGACCTTCACAGTATCTACCGCAATCTCTCCTCCTTCCCCACCTGGACCCGGTGTCAGGATAAAGTCAAGACGACCTAGGTCAGGAGAGGGCGCAGGTGGATGGCACGGTCTAGCCCACACCTTGGCGTCCCACTCCACACCCCTTGGTCCACACAGCAAATAACCAGGTTTCTGACCAACAACAATGGGGGCGGGCGACAGGGGTCCTAGTGTGCGCGACGTCTGTCGGCAACCGGGTCTGCTACCGCGCTCCGAAATGTTGGCGTTGGTTATGGTGCGCAAATTCGATAATGCCTGTCAGTGTCCGATGTGGTCCCCGTGTTGGTCTAGTGCGTCTACCACGCGGCCCGTTTGAGGTGGGGGGACACGTGCGGCACGCACAGATGGGGTGAATGCCCGCTCAGTCAATCGATGGGTGTGAAGAGTAAGCGCAGTAGGTGTTACGACGTTCACCTTTAGCGTACCTCGAATGTCGCACACGTCAACGCCGTCACCCTAGACGTTGGTGGTTCTCATGGATGCCGAATCACGAGCCGTCAAACTTTGTAAACCTGCGGTTTAATGATAATTCAAGTTTAATTGCTGGCTTCAGGCCCTGTTGGGACTACTTCTGTTTTATCCATTATTCCGTAATGAAGCATGCAGTGAACACCTTTGGAGAGCCTCCTGGGCCAATGTATTTCAGAAACTTGCTTCAAAAATATTTTAGGAAAAAACACCAAGCTGTTTTTTTTTATCCAATCCATGTTTTGAGCGTTCACATTGTGACAATATGTGTTTATATAGCCCCACATAATGGGCACAATACTGTTGGGGTAATTATTTCTCAACCACCAAATGTACAACCGCGCATTCCCAATAGCTTTTCATCTGCATCCAACTACTTAACCTCGTCGCCTGTGCGTTCCCCGGTCTCACCTGTAAAAACCCTATTCCCACCGGTCCCGTATTACAGGTGGCCGGGGTTTGTTTACTTCAGGTGGGGATAAATAACCACATCTGACCTAAATTTTCAAGTTTCCGCTCGTTATCTGTTTTCTTTCTTGCCCCCCCAGCTTACCCATCACGGGCATACTCTCAGCTGCTCCTGCGGGAAAAAGCAGTCTTTGGACAGTCACCTGTCATACCCCAACAACCGTTGCGGCCTACGTGGGTATAAATAAGACGAGGAGTGAGAGGTAGTTGCAAACCTGAGTTCACTAGCTGGGAGTTTTATAACGAAATAATCGAAACGCACTGGGGATTTCGAACACGAAGTTTCTCGCAGCTTTTCCGACAGCGAAGTAACTGTTTCACCGTACTCTTCCTAAAGTCGCTTCGGTCTGTGTTCTTTTAAGGCCCCACCCAACTTTTTTCATAAAGCCAGACTTCTTCGTACATACAAGACCGGCTGGTGGTAGCGATGGAGAAACGTTTAATATTATACGGGCCTACTTTACATCCTTCTTTCGGAGCGACTCCATCGCACGTCTACATGTGCTTTCCGCTCTTTCTCTGTCAAGGCCTACAGCGGAGGAGTTGCGCCAGAAGGCGTGGGCGCAAGAGGAGGAGCGCCGCAGACAAGCAGCCTCAGAGCGACTGGCAGCTCGGGATGCTGAGGCGGCTCGGTTGGCCGAAGAGAGACGTATGGCCGAGCTGGCGTACGAGGCCGAGGCGAGAAAGAAGGAACAGGCTGCTCGCCAAGCTGCGCTTAAGGCCCAAAAAAAGCGTGAGGCTGAGTACACTGCTGCGATGTCCTCGATGGCGGGGTTCAGCTTGCCTGCGGCAGCCAGGTGGGGCAGTGCAGCCGGCAAGCCAGTGTCTAATGCACCTCAGCCTACTCCGATGACTACCATTTTAGCTGAACAAACTGCAGAGGTCAGTGGACTGACTGATGCCCTTTTTACTTCACTTCGTCCTTATTCACTATAGTCTCGTCTCTGTTGCCTCCCCATTCCAGGTCCTTAAAGCCAATAAAGGACAAGCGGGGGGAGGTACTTTTGCCCAGAAGGTGGCCGCGTCTCCGCATGATGCCAGTACAGCAAAAGGTCAATCGGCCAATAATAAGAAGAAGACCAAAACCAGTGCGCTGAGTGTCACGTCCAACCCCTCTGTCGCCAGTAGCAAGAGTATGGCCGTTACTTCTCAGTCTAAGACAAATCCTCGGACCGACTGCCAAAGCTCGCAAAAACCTCTGCCCCAGGTGCGTTGCTAGGTCTCGCCTTCCCATAAATTCTCTGACCTGGAAATATCGCCTTTCCATCCGCTATTACGTAATATCGGGTCGCACTATTTTTGCATTTCCAAACTTCGGTAAACCTTGTGTGAGTATTTTTTTGGCAAGTGCTTCTCGCGTCCGTATATCCCTTTTTTCTCCGTGTTTTGTTACTTCCTCAGAGACATTTTAGCGCCCTCTTCAGATAGACTAAGGACCTTTTTGGTTCAAATTGCCCTTTCAGATCCCTAACCTAGCCAGAAAGGAGATATCATTTCCACCACATAATGAGGAGTGTAGTATTGGATATATCCATCGGAAGTTTACTCATTTTTAACCCAAGTGGACGATGGTCTCAGATGCACTTTGCCAGCTAAAGTGCTTGGGACGTTATACTGTCCCCCGGGTTCTTGCTATGCCGCCTATCCCTTATCAATAGCCACCAACTGCAAGCTACCACCTTCCGTTCCGATTTTCGGAAATAGAGAACTGTAATTGCTCAGTTTTTGCTTACAACAGTCAGGTCAATCGGTGCTGAGGTCATTTCGTCATCAGATCCATAAGTCAAGAGCCGTTTCTTCTAGTTCTCCTAAGTTATGTTAGCCGCAACCGACATGTCGCCATCAGCAAGATCTAGAGGCTCGAAGTCAAGCCTCACGAGGACATGGCGTGTGTCTGATCGCATTTTTCTATGCGAACGTGCTACTTTCACACTACTACCCTACCGTTGTAAAAGAACACAAATAGTGTGGCCTTGAGGCGATACTTAAAAGACTAGCAGTTTGCGTTGAAAGTATCAGTATGACACCAATGATTGTGTTACTTTTATTTGTTTGAAGGTGGTACAGGGGCCCTCATCCCATCAGCTACCCATTTACCTTCTGTTATAGCGCAAATGCAACATAATTTGAACCGGATTCGTGGTTGCAGAGATGGTAGACAATGTCAGGTAATGATAATACAATTACTTAGGGCAGGCGGGACGGCCTTCACATCGTTAGAAACTGTGCCCGCGTCTCCAGAAGTGCGTGCACCAGAGCAGATCATTTTTTGTCAAGTTAAATGATGTATAATCGTCGTATTCAGATCCGGCTTGGTTTTGTGGACTCGGGCGAGATTTTTTCCTCGGGGTTCACATGGTATATCCATGATTGCGAAGCATAATCCAAGAAACACAGTTAAAACGAGGTCACGAGCTCCAATCAGTCTTGAAGAGGAGCTCTTGATCGACAGGACCACTGTATCATGTGACACCGTATTTAATTCGCCGTCCCAATACTACTTTTATTTTTACGCCTTATATCAGCAGCGAAACTGCCGGACCAATAACGGAGCTCTCCTGATGGCATAGCCGTTGCATCGCCGTAGACTTCCAGTTTAATGGACACTCGAGCCCTTATCGTAGTCGACCTAGTATATGTGTTTATGTGGAGTGGCGGACTGGTGGTCGGCTGTAATATCTCCTTCATAATATGGCCTCTGTGGCACTCTCACTCTGTATGATTCGAGCCGGGTATGGCGGTAGGCCTAGAGGCGGCCTCGGCCGCGCCAGCCGTCGCCTTTGTTTTTGTTGGAGTCCACATCCTGGTCAGCGTGTACTGTGAAACCGGGTTGTTGCTGCAGGTCAGTTCGCAGGTCCTCCTCGCGTCAATTTAGGTTCTAAGCAGTTCCTCTTTTCTTTTATTAGTAGAACAGGAGTGTGATGGTATGCCCAGGTGCGGGTCCGGACGTGCCATCCACCTGCGCTCTCTCCCACCTTCGGTTTTCCTTACTATACCTTGACAACGGGCTCGGGTGGGGGTGAAGAGAGTGCTGTGAACGCTGCGCAAGTCTTAATATAATCTAATTCAGTCACAAGTCATCGTACCTGCTCTCAGCCCGTTGGGAGTACGTGGTGGACATCGTCGAGGTGACATCGAACTGTCACCTCCAGTTCGCATGTTAGCTACAAATGCAGTTTAAATTACGAGGATTCAATCCTGTAGTGCCTGTATGCAAGAAACCATATGCAGAAGTGTGAAACATGCAGGCCTCAGTCAAGCCTTTCCCAATTGCCTCATGCGGCTGCAACAATTCGGCAGAAAACCTGTCTGCTTTTAACCGTTGTCGATTATTGCTAAGAAATCAGCAGGTTGTGTACCTTTAGTGTTAGGCGATTACGTAGGCTGACAACTGTTCCACGGTCGTTACCGATCATTAGTATGCCATGAGCCTTATGAATGGAGGTATATGAACATGTCAGGTAGGCTCATCATCCCCCCCGTTCTGATTAGGATTTTGCTCGACCCAATTCTGTCCGCCCGCCAGCTTGACATAAATTTCGGTGCCACGAGTCGCGTTTTTAGCTGATCGTTTAAAAGTCTCTTCGCGGTAAGTAAAATAACTTCGATCAGCTAATGCTATAGGAAATAAAACAGAAGCGAATAACGAACTGATCGACCTCACCCCGGAATGCCCTCCGTCTGTGTTGATGAGTCGATTTTTTCTTGCTCTGGGTGACTTACTTGATGGTTGCAGGGCAAACGTTTTAGATTCGGCGTACAGACAATCACACTCGACTACTGCATAACCCTATCCCGCCTGTCTATTTTGATTGGTGGGCGGGAATGGACATTTCCGTTTCGTCCTAGTGTCCCATGTCAAGAGCGGGCGCAGGTGATAAGAGGGGAGTCGGAGGTGTGGTTGGCTATTAGTGGCACTTGGTGCATTTTACGGAGACCTGGCTGTATTTGGTACGCATGGACGGACCGTTTCGTTTTATCGCCAAGTGCAACCAGACCCGCATCCGGTTGTCTTTGATTTATGTTTCCATCAGACTTCACTGGGTGATGGAGTAGGGAGCACGGCAGATGTCGCGGAAGTCTCTCTCGCATAAACCAATTCATGCACAAGTCACCGGTGTTGCACACGGCAGACGTCGTCGCTCACGACGGTCTAACTGTCACCATTTCTGGGTTTTCTGGATTGTCAGAAGTCACAGACAATCTCAATCGTTGGATTTATTTATCTTTTTGGGAGTGGTTGATTAGTGGCTCGTAAGTTCACAAGGATTCTTCCTTCTCCTTTGAAGAACTGTATTTTAAACTGCCTTTTAGGTTTAGATTGTCGCACCCGACCGCATATTTCCCGTGTTTTTCTTCACTATGTTTTCTGTTTTTTTTGGCTTCAAGCAGGCTCCGCGCTCCCTCAATCCTCCTGTCATTGCCTCCCCGAAGAAGTCACCCGTTTCTATCTGGGACCTTCCACCAGACTCGTCAGCTGTGATCAACCCGTCTAAGAAGAGTTCAAAAAAGAAGGTACACTTGTAGAATGCACTTTCTGTGCCCCATTGATGATTAATATCCGTCTCTAACACCCCACTTCTTTATACTGTGTTGGTAGGAGGTACCCAGCACAGCATTAAATCCCTACTTCCAATTATAAACTGCTAACTTCGGCAGGGGATAAAATAGTATATAAAAATCGGAACTATTTATAGGGTCATTGAGAAGGTCACTCCTGAATAGAGTCAACGGGTAGATCACAGTTGGTAGCCAGGAATGGGAAGGCGGACAGCCAGGTCCCTGTCGTACGGGAATAGTGGGAAAGGAGGTTATATGGGTGGGGTAACAAGTACGTACGTCGACAGGTGCGGAGGCGAACATCCGCAGCACCTCCCGCACCCCCTCCCTCGCCCACCGGACTCCGATGGCAGGACGATGTCAAGATGACTGGAAGTGGACGCGAGTACAGTGACTGACAAAGCTAAACGGCTTATATGTCCACGGCCTGATCTCCGCACTATATTCCAGGTTTTCACAGAACGGCCGTGAGTGCCGTGTAGTAATACTCCTTGAGCTGACCGACTGGCCAGACCGGCTCCCAGCCACGCTTATAGACATCACACTGTGTTGCCCCCACAGCGGATTGCGCTGGACCATAATAATGTTCAGATTGGTTCGTCACACGCTTTAATCGGACTGCGGAAAGTTCGCGCGAGCCCATAACTGCCGCGTACATGTATGCGGGGGCATTCCTTATACGTAGGCCTTCATATCTGCCAAAATCCCACCACCTGTTGGTCGACAGGCTCGGGCAGTCCACTAGTTCATGGGAGAGGGAAAAGTGAAGTCAACACTGGAGATCCATCCTCACGCACATCAGCGTATTCCGCACGAATAAATCTGATAGGCCTCAGTCCATCAGGAATGGCTTGGAAGATTAACGACCGATTTTATAACTCATTTGTTCTCAGGTTGCAATGGTTCCTTCTGAATGTGCTCTCTATGACACTCTCACCGACTCGCTCTCGTGGCACGTTCTGTGGAGATCAGATGGTAGGTGACACGCACAGACAGGCTGTTTGGCCTTGTCAGCCACTGCGCTCGAGCCCGCCTCCGGTCGTTTCGACATTGCCCCGCCCTTAGAGTCTGGCAGATGAGGGAGGTGAGAGCGCGGCAAATGCGTCAAAAGCCTGTCTCACTGCAAACCAATTCATGCGCAGGTTACCGTCGCTGTGCCTATTCCGTGAGGTACACGACGGAAGTCTTAGCCTGCGACGGTTGAACTGTCGTGTGGTCCGCGACTGCTTTCTCGTCAGACCCGAGAGCCTACTTATTTCGTATATGGCCCTGTCTGGTGGTCCTTCGACTGTTGACGTGCGGATAGTCTGCGGCTCAGCTGCCATGCTGGGGTCGTATTTGCGGGGTTTCTTCAGTCTCAGAGTCCTACCAATGACTAAATGTTTCTTAATTCCACTGGCTACTCAAATAATGACCGCGGTAAAAACTAAATCACCTATATACCTGTCCGACCACTATGAGCCAGCTCGCTACAAGACCTCCGCGCGGTGCGTTATGATCGGTTTAAACGGACTGTCAGAACGGCTCTGGCGGGGCCCTTGTCAGTACTCAATTGTAACTGAGAATACATGTATTTTTGTCACCCTTGGCGTCCGTTGGGACTGCTTTCTTTCACAATTTTCTGCCATTTTTTTCACACACCCTGGCAGACCACCCCACTAGTATACCACATCGTGGTCTGCGCATTATGTACATGAACTACGCTGAAAAGTTGCGACCTGGTGAGCCTCTTTGCAGGAGGTAACTTGCTGTGTCGCACATATTCGCCTGGCCAACAGAAGTAGGCCTGTAAAGAAATTTAAATGCGAAGACAGTCACTTCGGATTTCGCGATCAGAGACACCTGACTGATCACAGCAGACGACGACCAGGCGACTGGTTTAGTGCACTGTTTATCCCACCTTCGGCCGATCTTTTTGCCAAACGGACTAGATGTGACTGCAATCTACTATCGGATGAACCAGGCGCCCACCACCCTCAACTGGGTATGAGACCAGTCAGTAGTAGAAGTTGTGGACTAAATTGTCCACCATCATGACAATCTATATTGACGTGAGACTTGGTCCTTGCTCTCAGAAGACATCCGCTGCCTGCGTGTTCGATCGGTGGAGTAGGCGTTCTGTCCCCTGACTTTGTCTCTTTGATCACATCTCCAGCAAACAGTCAAAGTGTACATCAGGGGTCAAGTTCCCCAACTTCCCTTACTCGTCTACTGAACTAGTCGGGTTACGTACTGCACTGAGGATCCCACCTCGCCTGCACCGGGCCCGCGCTGGCGACGGCGTCGATGTGTCCAACCGAAGACGTAGGTAGGTTTTCAATACTGATGTGAAAAGCATCAACCTCCTCAGCCACAGGAGTTTGTTGCGGACAGATTGCAATGAAAAGTGATCAATCCTGGGGCAGTGAACTTAAAACACGAAGCCGGCTGACTGACACGATGATTACGATCACAAATGCAAGTAAGTAAGTCTGAGGATGCATTGGGCTCTCTGACGTAAGGCCTGATTGGTCGTTCTAAGCCGGTATGTTGTTTTATGGATGTACAAACTAACCTCGTAATGTTTCTCCACTGCTGTATCGAGAGCTTTGCAATACAACTTCAGCGCTCCTAAAGTTTTTTTTCCATTGTGGGGTGTCCCCATGATTACACATTGCTTTGGCCTATGCGATAGTAGGCGCGATTCGTAAGTACGATCAGGAAGTCGGATTATACTGACATACACCATATTTATACCGTCGCGAGTGACGAACTTCGTCACTGTCCCGATTACGCGGTCGTGACCTCTGATTACGTTTTTTTATGGTGAGGCGGACTTGCACGGCGACTGGAAATGAAAGTGGTCGACATGTGAGGAGATTTGGCGCAGTGGCTAATGTGGTGTTAGCAATCCTCTAGGGCGTGCTACACATCGTGAGTTTCATACAAAAACGCCAAAGGAAACATCGAGTCGGTTTACGCTGGTCTGCAGAAACTCGACTGCATTTCTAGCCGTTCGAGTGGAGTAGTATGATTTCGGGCGGTTTATAAACTGTCACGAAGTTTGGCTGGTCTTTGCAGATCAAGGAGATCCTTTGGGGATAAGAAATTACCGAGAAGCGACCCCTTCGACTTTGTACGTCAGTAATAACCGCACGAACCACAACCCAAACCTGCAGTTTCAAGTTGACACGGCCCCGTAGATTATTAAGTTCGGAACGCTAAGAGAATGTGACGGAACAAATGCTGACCCAGGCGGAACTAGATGCCAGCAATGCCCCACACGAAAGCTTGACAAAACGCGCCGGTTCTTATGAGGACGACTCTTAAATGGGGATGGTCCCCTGTGTTACTATATACTACTATATACTATACTGTATACTATGAAGATGAACTGCACGACATCAATTTCACACAGTTTATTTTCCACCGCTGCTCCAGTGCGAATTTTATTTAGGGAGTACTGCCCGGCCGGATGCATTTACCCCACGTCACAACGTATTTTTGGATCGCATATTTCGAAGCAGACCTTCCACAGTCAGATATTAAACCAGCACAGTCCGTCTTTAGGCCAGAAACTAGCCACTCTGCACGTCAGAAACCCTCTGACATTACGACCATACTTGAGCTTGCTTGAAGTAGACAAGAGTTGAGTGGTGTTACCCTCACTGTCTTCAGTTTCTGCGCTCAGATTGATTTAGGACAACCTGGCATGACTGAGAATCTTGTCAGGTAGTCGTTATTAGAAACTGCAATCAGGATTCCTATGCAAACTTGACACCGCGACACATTCTGCATTTCTGTCCCTGACGGGATCACTTAAAGCTGGTTTGTTGAATTACCATTAAGTAGTTTATGTATTTCTCGATGGCGAATGTCGATCAAGATTTTGATTTTCGCCTAAATTGGGTTCTAACGCAATTTCTTCACTTTTCCCGTTCCAAGCATTAAATCGTAATGATCAGAGATGAGGTTTGGTTCGACAGACGGTCGGGCATCTATAAGACTTAGGGTGTTTCGCAACTGATTACTTGTTTTTGTTGTACCGACAATGCGTTTGAGCGCCATAGATTCGGATCGGCTGGACGGTGGCAAGCTTTTGCACTTCAAAATACCGTGATTCATTTCTTCGCGGATGTCTAGACAATAGCGTGTTGCCGAAACGTGTTTTATACGAACCCACGCTAAACACGGGCTAATGAAACCAGCCGTATCGCGATATGGCAGACTCATTATCTGAGCGCATCTACGAGATTATCAGTGGAGACTTTGCAAATACCGTTAGAGGACTGAGAGGAGATCAGGTACTGTGTGTTCGTAGGCGATGGTTGCACAAAACTGTTTCAGCAGAGCGTCCCAACACGCCAATGCAGCGCCTTTGGTCTGCTACGCACTTGGTTGATTGGGCGGTTGCTGTTGTAACACAGTGCCTGCGTCATATTTGTTACTTTCGGGAACACAAGTTTTTAGGCCACCACAATCATTGCGCTAGGAAAGAGCGTCGAGGAAGACCTGCTGGTTATTTTCTTCCTCCTGCATCGTTAATTGTACATTCGGGAAGACGGCGTTGAGATGTTTTTAGAATGTTATTACCGACAAAGACAAGGCCGGTAATGACATTCTGCCTATGTTATGCGCTGCCGTGCGGCTGCTGACTGGGCTCGAGAGAGAGCCCGTAAGGCACAACGGGACGAGTGAGTTCCGTAAAAGCGATGGGTGAGCGTCCCTCTACCATTGTTTTTAGAATGTCAGCACCTGAGATCGCATTCAATGAAAACGAAGGTGTCACCTACATACCGGACCTAGAATTTCGATCTGCGTTTTTAGAAGGCCATCGACTCCAGCCGTTGTAAGATAACCTCGTCTGAGTCCCGAAATTGGTGAATCCACTAGCGTGCTATTCATCTGCTCGTAGATTGTTCCGTCGAGCGTTAAGCATGTCTCGAGAAAGAACTTCAGTGACCGCATCGGTGATCAAAATTACGGAAGTCATAACCGCCTGCTATGGAATAGACAATATGAAAGACGCGGCCAGACATTCGCTGACGACGCGTGCCCTAGCGCGCCTGCCTATCGAAAATGAACCGTAATAATGACCCAGTTCCCATGGTCTGAAATCGCTAACCACCTTTGTTACCGCTGTCCCAACTGAGACGACGTTGAATTTTCACGTCATCCCAAAGCGATCTGGATGCGAATGTGACAAGGATCCCCCTTCAGCTAAAGTGCTCAATTGTTGACGTGCTAAGTGTTACCGAGCTCCCGAAGTCCATCGCCAAAGAAGCCTTTTGTTACTGTCTTAAAGAGGTCACGCCTTCTGTGCCGTAATTCACCAACAAGATCGTAGTAGACGAGTGTCGTGCGTGAACGGAAATGTGCGACTTGAACATCTGCACCACGTCAATAAACTTCCCACAACTATTCGGTAAGTGTCCGTCGGCTTTTTTGCTATGTTAAGAGCATGGGGTTATTTGTAATTAACGCGGATTTTAACGCGCGAAGGAATCTCTGAAGATCCGACATCCTAACGACAGGTGCACAGCGCACACATTAACTGACGAAAACTGCGCATTTGAGGGCTTGAAATGGGCAACGATCACAATGCAGACTGCGTCTTCGTGGGAGCCTAACCACACTCGTGCACGCAGAAACCGTCAAATATTTCACCATCTAAATTACTGCCTTCGCAGGCTGCGCCAAGTAGAAATTGTTGGTGACAATTGCAGATGCACGGAACGGCGCCACCTTGATCCAAAGCAAATAACCATTCAGCGCTGTTCACTGGCGGAAAGTTGACTGTTTTGTAGCTGTTTCCTATGGACAATAACTGAAACTTTCACGGGTAGACCGAGTGTCAAGTACCGACTTTTTTTGGGATCGTTATCGCCGCGTGATGGTCCCAGACGGATCAGTCAATTACTGTTTCTACGCGAGGGCGCATTGCGCAAGTCTTCTCCAAAAGCCTGCTGTCATTTGGCGCTGTGTCCTAGTGTTTAACTGAAAAGGCGAACAGGTTTAATTATGTCTGGCCCGGAGAGAGAGAGTCTTGTGTCCAACGACCAATTGGACAACGGCTGTTGCAAGCTTCGCTGTCTATTCCATCGCATGGACCTATCTGATACACGATGTCTTGGCTCTGGAGCTGTCTACGTACAGTACGTGACCTAACTCATGGAAGGTGTCGAAATTTACGAATGATTGCCAATCACTCGAAAACTGACGCCAATTAATGGACCCAATATCTATGTTAATTAAGTGCAACTTCGAAAGAATTAAAAACGAGGGAGGCAACGGGGTGGAGAAGGACCCCACTTTACTGTCGGCAGACTACAGATCGTGTCATATGTGACTGGTGATAAAGGGAGTTTTCCGGGTGGGGCTGTACATTAGAAATTAAGTTGGCAAAATGCAGGAAGACACAGAAATTGTTTGGATTTCGCCTAAAAGACTCGTACGCTTTCGTACGACGACGGAAATGAGCGCGGTGATTACAAATAAACAAAAAGTAAATTTCAAAAGTTAAAGGAGTTTGAGTGATGGTTTGAAGTAAAGACAAGTGATTGTTATTGGCAGTGTAATGTCTGCAAAGTCCTGCGGATGGATGTCAAGTTAGAAGCCCATATGACGTGATTCACAGTCTGCCGTCAGTTAGGTGGGGTCCTTCTCCATACCATTTCCACGAAAGGAATACTAAAGGCCGTGTTGTACTGCTTGGAAATGCCGTTTTTGAGAAAAGCGCAAAGTCCCAAAAACTTCAAAAATGGCTGCAATTTAGTGAACTTCGTTTTTATATGTAAAGAATGTCTTCTGATGCAAAAAACTAAGTAAATATGTAAGTGCAAATAAAATAACGTTTAAAAATAGTGTTTTAGTGAAGTTTGCAGCTGAATATTCTTTAATAATTAGTGTAATTCCATACATGGCGGTTCGTCAACAGCCTACTTTCTGCGTATAGATTCCAAAACAGTTTTTTCGGGATTCGTGATATTCTTAGCTCGTTCGAGTTGAGTGAGATGCGGTTTAGCAAGTGAAAAGAGAGTTTGCCTGATTTCACCAATGGGGACGTCGTAGGAGCAAAAGTTTTCATGAGGTCACATTCTGCCAGGCCGATCGGTAACTAATAAACATACTTAGAATTGACAGGCACGACTGTAAACATACCATTTTGTGTTTATAGAGAGAACTTTTCTTCCGTTAAATTAATTTGCACCGTTCGTTCGTTTTTGATTACGTCGAGTTTAAAGTCGACCTTGAAATATTGCTGCATACTTCAGGATTTTCAATGTTTTCCCCCGGTCGCCCATAAAGACACATTTTGTATCGTGTATATGTTAGAAACTTTAAAACAAGATATTTTTTGAAGGCATTTACCGGATTAGCCAGTGTTTGGGCGTTCTTTTTTATGAAGGATGTTGTTTGGGTCACATTTGAAGACTCATCCAAACACGAAACTTCATTTTCGAATGTAATGGCCGTCCACGACGAAAGTCAGCAACGAATGTCTTTGATCAACTAGAAACCTTGGTCTTTTAAGTTGCTTCTTTAAGAAGTGCTCTAATACCGTACTTCGTTGACGGATCTATGTGTACTTTGCATTTTTGCACAGCCAGGCCAAGAAAAAGTTTGACACTTTTGGCCGTTTCTTCCCCGCTCCTAAATAATACTAGTGTTTGTCTACCGTAAACTTAAGAAAATGTCTTCTTATATACATTAAGGCCATTTCCATTGTTTTTGCTCGCTTTTAGACTCCTTTTTGCGATTACGAATGCACTACAGAGTGCCCATATAAATACTGATATTTTGCTGAAACTGTTAGCATTTTGCATGTTCCATTTCTGAATAAGGTATGTGCAGAAGCTAGACTGCACGACAAATAATGTGTCATATGTTCAAAACTGGAACTGGCCATTTGGTGGTGATCATTTCTGCGGCATCACCTGAGATTTTCCAAACGGCAATACAATTTCAGCCCATTTAAACGAAGGATTCCCTGTGTGCGTTATATGTACACTTCAGGGCATCAAATCACACAGAAATGCCAATATGACTTCTAAAAATCGATAAAACATCCGGTTTTCTTAAAATAACCTCTGTGTAAGCAGGTTGATTACCACGGTTAGCATCCGGCAATCTCTGTTTATTAAAACTCTTGTGGGTAAATTACTCTCCTTTCAATGAGAAAAACGCTCAAATGTGCAACTGAAGTCTAGGGCAGGTATTAGCATAGGAAACTGCACGAATATATCGCAATGTCAATTTTTGCCAAAAATTTATGAAATTTTGCTTGATATAATTACGTGAACACAATTTCTCCACCTGAACAGGACATTTCATTGGAGTGGCTGGATGAGCGAACAAAATGTGCAACGCTTAAGACGTCCAGAAATTATCACCTCAGTTTCCGTTATCAGGTTTCATGAGATAAGTCACGTACTGTAAGTCTCAACAATAACTGCGGCACTTGTAAGTGCATAATAGTAAATAAATAACGGGAGGGGTAAAATTTACTGATCTGCTCTGTTCGCAGGACGTAATACAGATCCCTCGTCACGTTCGGGACCTCCATTTGAAAGTCCTCGCAGCCGGACTATGGCAGATGAACCTGTAGTGCCCACTCCTCTCTCCCGTGTGTTTGTTTGTAGTACCCCCAAAACATGTTTTTTATCACATGAAATTATTTTTCGTGACTCCAAGCTCCTTCCTAGGGAAGCCGGCATGTCCCGCTGGGCGAAATACCTTAATATTAGTTTGCGCACATGTCACCACCTACCTCCTGCCCGAGTCATCTTTAACGTTTGAAACGCCCAACAGTGTGTCCTTTTGCAATTCAGCCTTTCCCGGCGATCCAACATCATTCCACGCCATACATAAATTGCATTTCAGAAGAACCATGCACACTCCCAATTGCTCACGGGCTCTGCGATTACACTGAAGCCGGCAGCCCGCACTGAACTTACAAACTGGTGCGAAAGTCAGCTTTCCGTCTTTCCTCAGCATGATGTTGATCTGCCTACACTCATCGCTCTTCTTTGCGACATCGAGGAAGCCGACGATGTAAGTCCCTTGTCTTCGGTCCCTTCATGGCTTGCTGGCCTGCATAGGCAAGTTTACCATCCTAGTTATCTTACCATGGGTGGGCCTTTGACGTTCTATCGCGTGGTTAATTAACAAAACCATAGTAAACTTAGCTTCACTTACGTCACTTTAAACCTACTGTCTCAGGGATCGTGTGTTCATCTTCTTTACAACAAGAACCTGAGATCCGCATATTCGCCTCCATCCGTGAACCTAATGTATTCTTGACTAGTTTGAAATTATCTCGTTCTTTCCTTGTATGAAGAAACGACGACCCCATCTATAGCGCTTCGTAGGCTTCTTGATGTTGTCAGTGCTGTCGCACGGACGACAAGTCGAGAAAGACATTAGTTGGTCTGTACAGAGCCTCTACTTACCGTAGTGGGGAGTACACTTTCAGTAAACATCAAGGCCGACGACGAAGTCGCTAGTCGGATCTCCAAAGTCAGCTAGGTCTTCGGTCGGCTAAAGCGTTCCGTCTGGGACCGTTATGGCTTCCCACTCGACACACAACTGATGTACAAGATTGTTGTTCTGCCAACGCTCTTGTATCGCGCGGAAACAAACTGCGTATGAAGACCAAGCGAGAAGATCCAACCATTTTCACCTCATCAGCCTCCGAAGAATACTAAAAGTGAAGTGGCAGGGAAGGATACCAATACTGAGACCACGCCGACCACGCCATAGCACGCCTCGTCATGCGAGTGGCGTGGGAACGATCGATGTTAATTGTCCCGAATCATTTATAAGTCATGTAATTCGCATGACTTAAACTTCATTGTAACGGTTTTGGCCTGATGAAGAGTTACTGAAAACACGTGTTCGCCAATTTGACTTTTCAATACTGAGATTGTTGAAAGAACCTGCGTCCTCAGTGTTCGCGCCATACTAAGGCAGGTACAACTGCGGATGGATGTCGAGTGCCTGTCCAAACAGCTATTCTACGACGACATTGTTACTACTAGTTACAGATAAAGCGGGAAAAAGCGTTGCCACAACGTCACATTAACTACCTTTTTCAGGAACCTGCAAATCAACTGCAAGACCTGAGAGGACCCCACGCAAGATCGACAGGCAGGGCACAGTCCACTCGCGAACCCGTTGCACTAAGACTTGCGGGCGAGCTTCTGTAGCTTTGACGTGCAGCCGTCACGCACACCTCATTTGCTTACCACGCATCAGGACATTCAGACACCGTATGGGTCTGCCTGGCCATATGCGTATCTATGACAGCAGGACTCACCGCAATGTTATCACGACAGATCTACCTCCTACATCTGAAAACTACTACTACTACTACTACTACTACTACTACTACTACTACTACTACTACTACTACTACTACTACTACTACTACTACTACTACTACTACTACTACTACTACTACTACTACTACTACTACTACTACTACTACTACTACTACTACTACTACTACTACTACTACTACTACTACTACTACTACTACTACTACTACTACTACTACTACTACTACTACTACTACTACTACTACTGCTACTGCTACTACTACTACCGCACTACGGATTTCATCAAACCTTACCCTACCTGTCCACACGCATCCCTGGGGAACATATGAACCCCTTCCACACTTCGCGCCACATCCCATAACAATCATACCTCTTTCCGGCGGCAAGCACATGATCCGTTTCGACGTCGCCGGTATGGTCGGTGCAACCTCACGTGCCAGAACCTGCACGTCTCACGTAAGCGGGCTGCATGGTCCTTGGTGTATCCTAGTGCATTGCTTAGTTAAGGGGTTGCGTGTGGCACACGCAAACGGATATGTAGCTCTGTCAGCCACTGTGCCCACTTTGGTCACCAAGTGGTTGACAGCTCGGGCGGTCGACTGGCGCATGGGAAAGGGCAGACAGAGTGAGGTCGACACTGGGAAATCCATCGCCGCGGTAAATCAGGGCATTCCTCATTATAAAGCGCTTGAATTTAACACGACGCGCTAAAATTCGTGGCTTAGGTTGTCAAATGGCGAGATAATTCGGTTCTCACGGTCAGTACTGTGTGTGTGTGTGTGTTTATCTGGGGTGACTGAGAGTCCGCCTCAAGGACTCCTTGATGTGGCCTGTGGGACGCTCCCGCTCATGTGAGATCGGAGTCCCCCATACTGTGAAATCCTAGTACATTGCGCACGGACTAGGTCGTGTTCGGCACATGTTGACGGACTTTTAAGCTTTGTCAGCCACTGCGGCCACTCCCAGTTCTGGTCGCCTGGAGATTGTCTTGCCAGCTGCGGTAGTTCCCGTGCAAATGTGCCTCACGACGAACTGTGCTCGCAAGTCTTCCAGCGCTCGCTCCGTGGATTACGCGCCGAAAGTCATAGCTCGCGACGGTTAAACCGTCATGCCACTTACTGTAGTTCTCGTTTTGTAAAAGACCCTGCATTGTGCCCGTTTTTTTGTGAAAAGCTTGACGAAGAGCACAGCGCTCCATTGTTCGTTTCTCAGAAAGTGGATAGAACTCATAACGAAGTGTGTGGAGGTCCGAGAATGACCGTTATCCACAACGTCATGATTGCCTGTGAACGAATGAGTGATAGTGAGCTCCATGTCAGGCGTGTCCGTCGGAGTTTAGAGTGCTCCCTGCGGCATATCCGGGCTTAAGGATCGTGTACGGTATTTCATTAGTAGTTTTCGGTTAATTATGACCTTTCGGCGTGTGGGTGCTTGTGACTGCATGTAAATCACAGCTTTAAAGCAAATTTGAGCGCTCATTCTGCCTTAAACTCGGGTTGGTCGATGAACGCCACTAGCACGGTCGATTCATTACTGCCTGCCTCTGTTAATAGTACTTCTCGCTCACTAAATAATGTTTTTCTCTGAATCTAACCTTTTTTATTTCTAATGTTTTAGGTGCTGGAATGCATCGAGGCCTCATTCGGAAAGTCTTCTCGCCTCTCCAAGTTTAGCAAGGCCTTTGTTGAGAAGAGGGCAACTCTCATGCGTTTGACCGCATAAGGTTCATTTTTTTCATTGAGGTCTTTTTTAATATTTTAAGTGGCGCTGGGAACCGTCCTGAATTCTAAGTTTGCTAATTGTGAGCACCGTGCACTATTTCATATTGTTAGGCAGGCAGATACTTTTGTCCGAAATTAAGCCAGTGTGCCCCGACAGCCAACTTTTCAACTGCGGAGAAACACTAGATTGAAGTTTGAGGCTCGCCTAGCCTTCTGCTTGTCTACTGGTCCTTCCTCTTGCCTTTGAAAACTGGTCGAAGTGTACGAGTAAAGTTAGAAGACGTTATTTTTAATCAGCACGCCGTGAACCTCGTTGCAAGGTGCTCATGTGACTCGGCAAGCCCCTCTGGCTGGCGATTAGCACCTTCCTGACCATCCGGACCCTTGAAATGGTCCGCAAGTTTAATGGCTTGAACTTTTGTGTGAAAGTCTACTAAAGCAGGCAATTCATACAGCCAGTAAGCATTGCTCTAGAACCAAAATATATTCCCCTCGCGGTTATAGAAGAAAGGTGTAGTTAATAGTTCTCAGTTAATAGTTATAGCCGTGACACTTCAAAAAGGGTCTGTAGTTCGTGCCCACCTCACAACCAAAGTTTTCTGTCTACCTCTTGCCTTCCATGGCCTGCAATAAAAAACGTGTTAAGTGCTCTTCAACTTCGCTACGTTCATGCGGTCACACCGCTTCCTTGCCGCCGCGGTTCTACTGATACCAGGATATGCCCCTTAACGGAACTGCGCTGACCTAGGGCAAGTTAACTTGTGGTCGCCTCACCCTTGTTCGGCTTTTCACCCACCTAAATTGCCAGTAACGCTAGACTGCGATTGTCTGATGTTTAATTCCTAGCTGAACCCTTCATTGTCCAACGCACCAATTACTTTCTTTTATTTGACGCCTTTTCAGGCTCAGTTTTTACCCGCTGGACCCACTGATTCCTTTTGTTGCCTCTCCGGACTATACGGAAATGCCCATGTCTATTTCTCGATTTGCCCCCTGACCTCTTGGACCTACTTTTCTTTTAGTTGGGCGAAGTCTAGGCTGTTGCTGCATTTATACGCTGGCCGTCCAACCGTTCTTGGCTGTATATTCCCATCGACACCGCCTCCTTTGCCACCCGTTTTCAGTCCTCAATGTTGACCTTCATACACCCACTGGCAACCTAATGGTTTTTACACCATAATCAATCATTATACTTCCACAGTCCTCACTACAATAGCTCAACGGCTGTCTTTCAATCTTCCTGGCAGCTGCTATGCAATGAGGTGACACAGTTCCAATGCAGCACGCTAGACTATTTTTTTGTATACTTCGGCATAATCTACCTTCCTTCGATGGTTCTCTCCATACCTGCTTGCTCCTCAGACCATTGTTTATTTGTGCACGTCTCTGCTTTCCCCTCCCATCTACCGTGCCCCATGTTCTGTCCTGCCCTGCTCCAGACCCCCTCACGAAAAGGGTCGTCTTTGGTCACCGTGTGTGTTTGCTTCGGTGTGATGTACATGTGCCCAACTTCACCAAAATTTTCGCCACCTCTGTCTCTGCTCGACATCCTCACTGTGGTCACACTGAGGAGACATTCGTGTACTTGTTTTGTAAAGAACTAATTTTTGTACAAGTACTTTTTTCTGAAGGCTTGTGAAGGGACACCTATTCGCTGTGGAGCCCCGATCGAGTGCGTTTGATGACCCCATTATGCCATTGCGGTCGCCCGTGGTTGCACGTTAGCCCTGGGCACTTAGAAGTTTCACAGCTCACTTTTCGGTGCGGACCGATGAATCGGACGGGTGTTATAGGCGATAATTACCTTTTCCAAATTTGCTGTCCGTATTCCGACATACGCCATTCGCAGGTTCCGGAGATAGAATACGACCTTTCCAATGTACGTCCACAGTCGAACTTCAGTTTTATTCGGTGTTTCCACTCTGGGATTTGTGGGTCATTAAAATCACTCAAAACTGAAACTGGCAAGGGTAGGGTGAAGGACCCCAATTAGATTACGGTAGATTGTGGATCTTGTCATGCGGGATGGTGGTTATGGGGGCTTTGCAGGTGGGCAGCACGCCGGACAGTATGCTTACGGAATTCAAGACAAAATAGAGGACGGTTGGTCGCTAAAAGGATGTTTTTGAGTAAAGGGATGAATGTATGCAGATACGGTGTCCAGCTGGATTTTTCATGGCATTCCATCTTGAGTGTCAGGCTATTGAGCAACGGAGCCTATCCCATGGCCGAAATTTCTGTTATCCCTCAATTCATGGCCGCTTGATTCTAGTTTTTTGTCTCTCCGCTCGTGGGTACAACTGCCAATCATCAGTACTTAACTAGATTTCTGAAGTACAGACACCACCACGCGAGCCGCGGTCTAGGACAGAAAATTGGGGTCCTTCACCCGACCCTTGCCCAGGAACTTGTTCAATCTACTCCCAGAATGTGAGGAGGCCGGTAGATGCAGTTTACCCTGTTGGAAATCTTGCCGCAATGCCAGTTGTCAGTGCCGTAAGTGCAGTCGGTTAGACTGGGTCTTATCCGTCATTAGACTTGACAGTTCTGCTTGCGAACAGGGTAATTCAAGTTTCCGGGCCTCCTATGGGATTTCAGACCAGTTTTGTTCCGTAACGTTTCCTTCCAGACCACTTGTCTGTCGCACACCGACCACGCACATCATGCCACCCGAGTTATTGTGCCTTTGGGTTTGTTTTCTGGTTCGGTTAGCAGTGTTGCTTCGTGTGCAGTTCGAGACACATTGGTCAAGTCAACCGGCCTGTGAAATATTCGGATCTGGGTTTGGACGGATCTCTATTGTTTTCGGGCATTCGCACGATCATCTGACGGAGGCTTTGTCGGTTCATGGAGAGCGGCGCAATCTACTCTGTGTTAAAGTCAGCATAGTGGCTGGGCGACGTCTACGAGCATTTTTCCACTGGGACCTTTGATCCGATAGGGGACTCAGCCCATGCCACAAGAGTACGGGGAACCGGAGTCCTCCCTCTCTTCCTTTAGAACTTTCCAAAACCTCCATGGGTAGCAGTTGAATAAGGCGGAGTCTGTAATGACAAAATTACATGTCTACTTGGCTGATACTGAAGGTTCAGATTTATCCTATTGTTTCATGTCTACTTCCATGGGTAATTTCCAATATTTTGAGTACGATTTGAAGCTACAAGCACCAGTGCATCTTTATAAAGGGATAGCCGATTTCGTGAAGGCCTGTATCCCAAAGTCCACCTATATTACCATGGAGAACAAGAAAAAGGCCTTATAATATGAGGACTGATTGTCCCGCAACGTTATCCTAGTACGCCCTCGGTGAACGGGCGCATGATTTTGAAGTTGCTAGTGTGTTCAGCCTACTCATCACAAGCCGGACCAAGCCTCAGCAAAAGGTGGTAAGACCGGGAGGAGGGCTTTTTGTGTAGAAACCTGAACTGCTTTTTATGACAGCTGGCGAAGCTAGTGTCCGTTGGCTGTTAAACCGTGCCACTGGGTGTCTTTGTGTTCATCTGCTAACACGGCTTTATGAGAGCTGGGTCAATCAGGACGACCAGTCGGACCGTCAGGTCAGCTCTTCAGTGTGTGAATGGTCTTGTCGGCAGAGGACGCGCGATTGCTTGTTTTGCGCGCGGAAGAAATAAGACGGGCGGTGGCGATCGACGACTGCTCGTTCTAACATCAAAACCTTTAGCTTCAGTGAGTTTTCGGTCACTGTAGCGACATAAATCGTCTTACTTAAGGGGTCAGATAAACATTCATTATGCGAAGTAAGTTGTACTGAACACTGCTGGAAGTCCACCCTGAGAAGGCGTTTCATCGGTTGACGTTGGTCAAGAGAAAGAGAGCTATAACGTTCTATGGAGACTGTTGATGAGGCAGCTTATTACGTCGGTTCATGGTGCTGTGTTTTCAGCGCACATCTTACTTTGACGGTCCTGGAGCGGACATTCAGACCGTTCCTCTTTTTTTGCACTTTTTCCAACTGCGATGTTGGCACTATTGAACTAGTGGTAGGGTCACATACCACGCCTTCTTGTTCTCCATTACCTTAGGCATTCTATTTGGGAAATGGTCCGAGTTTACCTTCATGTGGTCACCTGTGACTGTTTATACTTTAAACATTCCTCGCGTCTTAAAAAATCCAGTACTTGAGGGTTTCTGCTCTCCGGTTAGCCTCGGCATTTGGATTCTCGAACGGGGTGCTGCGAATCCGTTTAAGGCCCGATCCACAGTTCGAAAGTGAGATTAGTAATAATCAGTTGATCGTTCCCTGAATGCGCAAATGTTATCCATCAAACGACAGACGCGCATCCCAACCTTGCACTGCGTGCTGCGGTTATTCAGAGACCAATCCAATTACCTATTCTTAATTTTAGCGGCGTAAGGCGAATTGGATAGACTTCCATCGTGCAAAATGATGGCCTCATTAATTTGTGCCGGCAGGCAGGCAGTTGCCTTTTGTTTGAAGTTGTGACAATGTTAGTGAATACGATTAAATGCCCTGTTTAAAGAAGAGAGCTGGTCCCTCAGGCAGAGGTGCAAGGTGGCACGCGTATCTTGGCGAGAAGGGCAGGACCATTTTTGCGTGTCCAGAAAACTAGATATATCCTGTGTAGGCATTGCTAGAACGACCTGACATGCACCATTCCAAACTTTCCATTGAAAACCGCCATCGACGATGTCTACCCACTGCCTCACCAGGTGGGCGCGGCCGTGGGTTGCGCGTGTAGCGGGGGTTATGATCCGCCGCACTAGTGATGTGATGGTTCGAAAACCACCACAGAAAGGCGGTCAAACTTCAGTTACAGGGAGACCCGGACGGCGATAACGACCAGGAGCAAGTGTCCTTTTCACAGCTGTACATTCTGCGGAGCGCGAAGAGTGGCCTTACGTTAACGAAATCTCTCAAGCCTACCGCTGGATGCCGGGTGTTATTCGATTCCGAGAGGTGTAGAACTGTAGTCCGTGGTACGGAGCGTCAACGTGGAAATCCAGCGACAAACAAACGCC